TTATATTAGATAAAAATAAAATACAGCTAATTGCAGTTTTAAACTAGTCATGATAAATTATTTTGGTGAATGTGCGAGTGCATGTGTAATGTACCTTTTAAGTACATTTTTATCTGTAAATATAAAATAATGTTTTGTACATAATGATTTATCTTAAACTATCATACTTATTTACAAAATAAATACGTTTTAAATCTTCATCCCTTGTTTTGATGTATGAATCCTACCTAACCTTATCTTCAAAATTTTAATAATTATTAGCGATTTAGCTAATAATTATTAAAATTTTGCAGATAAGATATTAAAATTTTGAAGATAAAAATAGCCCTTTACATAAATATATTTTTACGCAATATCTTTATTTTTTAAAATGGAATTCTATATTTATTATAGTTGGTAGTGGGAACCTTTGGTGTTCCAAAAGCAAAATTAAACACTAATTCACCACAATACACCAAAACCTTTTACTTTTGCACTGGACGCGCGTTTTGCTAACCATATTGCAACATCAACAGATCAACAAAACTAGTTTTAAAACTATGCAGATGGTAACATGGTTAGCGAAACGCGCGTCCAGTGCAAAAGGAAAGTCTTTTGGTGGATTGTAGTTAGTGTTTTATTTTGCCGAATCAAAATAAGTTCATTGGACACAATTTACCTCTATACAAAAGTGCTTCGTTTGTCCGCTAAAGGGCATCAAACTTTAAAAAAATTAACACATTTTTTCAGATATATGTACAGAGTGAGTTTTCTACGATGTTCTCTATGGGTATCTTGGAAACTACTGGAGATAGAGAGTCGGTTAAATGGGGAAGATTTGCAGTTTCGTGAGGTCATAAATATGCACCTTTCAGATTTTTGAAGTTCATTCTTACTAGATATTTCGAAAAAAAAGCAGATTTTGGTTATTTCAAAAATGGTCCTTAATTCCATTATAATATATTTTAGACAAAAAGTTTTCAGATAAAAGTCGTAAATAATCACATCCATAATGAGATTGTGTTCTCCGCTTTTTTCTAAAGTTTGTCATTTTTGACATATGACACAAACTTATGTTTTTTTTTTAAATGGAAACCATAGTTGGCCATGACTTCATTCATAAAAAGCGTCGACTTTTCAGCGATATAAGCTATATCTAATATATTTTTTCGAAAAATTACTTACCAATTCTTATCATTTTTAAACAATTTCACTTAGTTAGCCATGGAAACAAGTTCAATCGTCTTTCCTCTCAGAAATGTGAAACTGTTACATCCAAACTTTGTAAACTAAAGTAACCAAAAATTGTAAATTTGATTTTTTCAAATGAAGAAAAGCGTGTAGGATTATTGGTTCAATTTTTCTTGGCTATACATTTTCGAGGATACGTTACATACGCTTTTTAGAGAACGGTTTTCAAGACATCTTAGAAAAGTTAAATTTAGAGACTCGCGCATCATTAGAGTGGTTCCAAATAACTTTTATTATGACATCCCCCCCCCCAACAAAAATAATGTTAAAAATTATGTATATCATAATTATCTAAACTCAGGGAGAGGAAGAGGTGGACTAATTGCATGGGCCTCCTCACCTGACCTATCCATTTTAAATTTTATGCAGGTATATTTTTTGAACATTTTCTAAAAATAACTTAAAGTAGGTACCTATATGTAGTGATATTATTTTTCTAGTTTTAGTTTGTGTAATGTAAATTGTAAAGAACCGTTTAATAAAAATATTTTGTCTTTTTTATAAGTTAGAAATTATAATAATTAAATAAATAACAGTACTTCAATAAGAATACTATTGTACCAACTAAGTGAAATTAGTCCAGAAAGATAAGAATTGGTTATAACTCAGTAATTTTTCGAAAAAAAACATATAGTTTATATCGCTAAAAAGCTTAAAAGTACGCTTTTTATGGAGTTCCATTCAAAGAAACATAAATTTGTGTCATATTATGTCAAAAATGACAGGCTTTAGGAAAAAAACGGAGAACAAAATCTCATTAAGGATGTAATTATTTACAACTTCTATATGAAATTTTTTTGTCTAAAATAGATTATAATGGAATTAGGGACCATTTTTAAAATACCCCAAATTTGTTTATTTCGAAATTTCTAGTTAGCCATGAACTTTTTCAAAAATCAGAGAGGCGCATATTTATGGCTACACAAAACTGCAATTCTTTCCCCATTTAACCGACTCTCTATCTCCAGTAATTTCCGAGATACCCATAGAAAACATCGTAGAAAATAACTCACCCTGTATATATTTTAAGAACCATTATTCCGATTTGAATATGATTTTAGGTAAGTATCTATGTTTTGCTAAGTGCTTTAACATTTGACTTCCACTAAAATCAACAAAAAATACCCTGGATGAATGAACTACCCTCACTTCTACATAAATTTTAGTATAAATATTTTCCAACTCAACCGACGACCGAGTTTTTTTTGTAAAATGTTCCTTCTAGTATTTACTATATTTTCTGTCTCTTGTAAAAAATCGCCACCACTCATAGTTGTAGGGAAAAAAAATTCCAAAGCTGACTTCCAAAAAATGTTTTTTTTTGTCAAATCAAGCTATGGATGTGCATAAAAACTATTATTATGCTCTCTAACTCTGGCTCTAATAATCTAGTTGGCGCAAATATGGAATTTTATATTAGTATCACAAATAATATTTGAAAATAAGCTTCATAAAAAGCTTAAAAAATTAATAAATTTTAAAAGCGGACAAAAATAATTTTAAGGCGGGCAATCGAAGCACTTTTGTATAGAGGTAAATTGTATCCAATGAACTTATTTTGATTCGAAGAATACATAGTAATTCTATGTCCACGGAATATTGGGACACCCTGTATAACCCCCTGTAAGGTTTCATCAAAATAAAAATTCTGTAAAGGATGTGAAAATTACTTAATTCTACAAACGATATACATATTTACCTTATAAATATTTAGCTTATAAAGAAAGAATATATTCACAAACTAATTAGTATATGTATTAAAAATTAAATTAAAATCCAAGAAACTTTTAAAAACAAATTATGGAACGACTTTGCTGCCATCTAACGGAAATTATCCTAAACATGAAAATCAGTATTTTCACAGATATCTACAATAACTGTGAAATTTTCCCCACAGAAATCTCCTTTATTTTTACAGTTTCCTTTACATTGTTGTTAAACCATATTTATATTACAGAAATCTATAATAGCTTCGCCATTCATTTTTACAGAAATCTTTATTTAATTTGCATTTTTTTTTCTGCTGCTCATAGAAATACTGAAATTAGAAATAACTGGAAATATCATTTAGCAAAAAGTTGATAAATAGTACTGAATAATGATAATTTAGATAATGTGTTGATTCATGCTCTAAAATATATTTTATTTTTAATTTAAGGATTATTTTTGATTTATCTCTTATCATTATTTACTCTGTGGTGGAACTATCTGTATCTGTCATTTTTAGATAATCATAAAATTAGTCATTATTTTGACGTTTCAAGGTTTTCGTGGTAAATTGAAAATCATATGTTACAAAAATGGCTGATGTACTAACAGAAACGGTCCTACCAGAAGATTTAAAGGTAAATTTCTTATTTATTGTGAACTTACTTCAATGATTGTGTTACCGCAGAGAAAAATAAACCCTGACTGCAACTGTCTAACCTATAATTCTGTTGCGTCGTTAATAATGTTCATCTAAAATTCTTATTTGTGTTGTAGAAATTCGAACAAATCTACCACGGACAGCTCTACAAAAATGACGTTACCCCTAAGGCACAATTCGATTATGCATTCTGTCTTGTTCGAAGCAAATACCCAGCTGATATACAGAAAGGCATAGCTCTACTAGAAGATCTATACAGAACGAATGAAGAAGGCCAAAGAGACTATTTATACTACTTAGCAATTGGAACTGCGAGACTAAAGGAATATTCAAAAGCATTAGGATACGTTAGATCATTCTTGTCAATTGAACCAGGTAAATAATATGTTTCGAAAAGCCTAAATTATCATTTAAATTCTAATAACATATCTACTTATTAAAATAAATCTCCTAATATAAATATATTTAATGAGTTTGAACTTTGACCATGTCATCAGCTAATATTAGTTAATATGATTCAATATTGTGTTTTTCAAATATTTAAACATAGTGGTTATGACAAATGACATGCAACAGAGTTTATATTTTTCATCAATATTGTACTGTTATTGTATTGACTATAACTTTTTTATTTTTGGAGAGAAGATTTACCTAATCAACTTTTCTGTATATTAGAGATTAATGTATTTGATATTTAATAGCATATTTTTTTCTGATGTCAAAAAATATATTTCGTACCCTTTCTTCTTATGAGTTTTATTTAATGTTGACATTAAATTTCTAAACGTAAAACTAACAGTATAGTATGGTCTATATAAGATAGTCAACAACCTAACTATGTTAAAACAAATAACATTGGTTTATATTTTATAGAATTTTGATAAGAATGATATATTTTTGATATTAGAAAATAATATGCTAAAAAGTACCCAGTACACTTCTAATATACAGTGTGATGCATCGCCAACCTGGATAAAGGAAATCCCTCGGGAAATCCCATTCTTCTAATATTCTAGCTCTAGGTACTATAAGAATATATGATTATAATGCGAATATTGAGGCAAATTTAAAAAAAGTCGTTTTTTAGAATTGAAATAATAATTTTTGTGTCAATTTTACTTTTTTTTTAATCAAAAATGGTAAACCGCTAAAAAACTGCTAACCGTTAAATAATATTTTTTCCCGCTAAACTGAAAAATAAACCGCTAAGTTGGCAATAGTGCAAATCTATTATGATTTTCTTCTACAAAGTTCTGTCAAAAATTATTTTGAAATTACTTTCCATATTCTCTATTAAAAGTTACACAAACTACACTGTAGACATACCTATATGAATAATTTATTTATTATCACTAAGCAATTCACAATATCAAGTACTGAATAAAATTTGTCCTACGTTCTTTACCTCCGTCCAATAATTCTTGGTGTTTGAAATATTTAAATGACTTATTATTGCTTATAATTATGCTTCTTCAAATTCGCTAAGAAGTGGTTCGATGTTTTTCGACTATTTCTCCAAGGATTTTTGTACTTACTTGGTTTTCATATTCCACTTGTAACAGAATATTTAATTAATTTTTATTTATTATTTTTCCATGATGCTCATCAATATTAATCTTCTTTTTGTATTTATAGTCTTTAATAACTGTTCATGTTGGAATTCTTCTCTTACATTTATAGTCGTCAATAACTGGTCTGGCATATTTGGA